TCCAGAACTGGACACTCCAGCCCCAGGGCTCCTTCTTCTGCGCCCCGCCCCCCGCCCCAACTCTTGTGTTCCAGGTGACACTAGGAGAAGGGGGTGGGGGCCGCGCTAACCCCTTGGTCACGGCGTCGCCTCCGCCCAGGGAGAAGCACGGGGGAGTCTGAGGGGGGACTGAGCGGGGCGCCTGGCCGGGACTTCGGGCCGGGGTCTCCGCGGAGCGCCGCGACCCCCTCCTGCATCAGCCCCCGTCCCCGCAGCGGCCATGCCCCTCTCTCTGGCCTCTCTCCGCTCGTTCTCCTCCGCTTCCCAGCCCCGAGCGCTTCGGGGGTGGTGGTGGTTTGGCTGGAACTTGGGGAACCTGAGGAGGGGCAGGAGGAAGGGGGTCCATGGGAAAGGGAGCTCCTCGGGCCACCCGCGCCCCGCAGTAGGTGCTGCTGCCAGCGCGATGGCGCTGCACGGCCGCCCTCTCCCTCGCCACCCCGCCCTCCGCCGCCAGGCGCCGGGCCGGTCTGGCCTCCAGCGGACCCCAGCAGCCCAGCGGGGATTGAGGGGGTGCTGGGGAGGCGATTTTGCAGGTGCGGAAAGGGGACGAGGGAGAAGCCAGGTTCTGGAAGGGGGCGAGGGAGGAGCCAGGTGTGCAGAGGCGCCTGCGGCGGCCGGGAGCCCGGCCCTACCAGGTCCCCAACCCCCCGTGGCCCTCCACGCCGCCCCCTCCCCAAACGGTCGGACGTTCGGACAAGTGAGACGCGAGGCTGCAGGGGCAGCTGTAACTGTGTGTGTGTGTGTGTGTGTGTGTGTGTGTGTGTGTGTGTGTGTGTACACTCGCGCTCGCGCACGCGCGCACGCGCCCAGCGCCAAATGAGGACCCCCACGTTTCTCTCGCCTCCCTCCAGGACCTCGCCGGGCTCGGCTTCCTAGCTCTTCTCCCGACCCCAAGTTCTCCCCCCCAGGTGTGTGCATGCACACGTGCAGGACCCCGGCGCCGCCAGCCAGACCCTCTCCCTCTTCGTCTTCCTCCGCCCCCCAGGCTGCGTCGCTTTCTTCCAGCCACCCTTCCTCCCAGGGTCACTATGGGGACGCGAGGGAGAGATTTGTGTTTAATTCCCGCCGCCGTTCGGGGGTTGGGGGGGGAGGGAAGGAAAAATCAAGGGAGCAGAGGCAACACAAGACCAGTTTACCTCAAGCCTTTATTATTAAGAAGTTTATATACAGGGACTATTTCCAGCAACACACTCGCCGAATGGCCTTCAGGTCAGGGGGCCAGACATCTCCCACCACGAAATCGGCAGCTCTGCCTCGGAGGCACCTCACTCAGCGCCCCTAGGCTCTCCCTCTATCCCCTTGCCCTTGAACTCCGCCACCCAGACCCCGATAATGGGAGCCTTAGCCTCCTTCTCCCTGGGGAGCTGCCAACCTCCCCAGCACCTGCGGCCCTGTCCTTCTCTGTCCCTAACGCAGTCCCCAAACCCCCCCCCCCCCCACAGTTCACTTTGGTTTCCTCGTGGAAACCCAGAGCGCTTCCCCTGTGCCCGGTTTAGGCACTGCTGCGACCCCCTGCAATTCAGAAGCAGCTCGTGGTCAAGACCAGTTAGAGACAGTTCGTCATCAGCAGTGGGGCTCATTAGCACCCAAAACAAGGGGGGAAACAACTCTGCCCACCCTTCCCCACCCCGCACCCTCTCCCCCGATTCAGGTACAAGACATTAGACACAAAAGCAACAGGGCATCCCCACCCCCTGCGGCAGGTGTGGGTGCCAGGCAACTAGGGTGAGCTGCACCAGCTGCATGCGTTGCTGGAACCCAGCTGAGCTCGGGGGCAGGAGGGCACAGCCAGGGTCTTTTTTCTTGGGGGCGGGGGGAGGCTGCACCTAGCTAAAGAAACGCTGGCTCTTTTTTTCTGGAGAAGACTTGCCAGAGAGCACAGCAGGGGCCTCTGCAGAGACAGATCCAGGGGCTCACAGACAAAGGGTGGCACCAAACTTGCACTTGAAAGGGCATTTAAAGCCAGCCAGGCAGGTACAGGCGAGGAACAGTCACGGAAGCGGAGTGGGGGTGGGGGGGAATCTTCAGGTGGCTTGGCTGAGGACTCAGACCCAGCCTGAGCTCTGAGGCTCAGCGCAGCAGTGTCACTGGGCCCTCACCAAATCTGACTTCGTTTGGGGCATTGGCACGTGGGCTTCGAAGGCTCGAAGGCGCGGCCCGCCAGGCTCAGTCAACTGTGTTGGCTGTTTACACTGGACGAGGCTGACCGCTGTGCAGCTGCTCATCATAGCGCTCCAACCAGGTGCGCAGCTCTGAGACCTGGTAGCCATCTGGGCCACGGCCACCCTGGTACATAATGATGCCACTCTGGATGACGTACAGGCGCTCGAAGTAGGCGCCATAGGCCGAGCTGCTGGAGTTGGCCATGGTGTCCAGGACGAGAGCACAGCTGGGTGCACCTTGCTGAAGCACACGCGCCGCACTGACCCGGTCCTCCAAGCTTTGGTGCTTCGGGATGCTGTAGGGGGAGTCTGTGGTGACCCAGCCGTCGGAGGGGTGCGCCTCTTCGATGTAGATGATGAGAAAGTCCACGTCGCGCTGGTACTTGGTGACCAGGCGCTGGAAGGCGCTCATGCGCGCCATGAATGGTGGTCAGGTGCAGCTGCCGAAGTTAAGCACCAGCGGGCGGTCCCCTCGCGCGTAGTCGAGGATGTGCTGGTTCTGGAAGCCGTCGGGCAGGACCACCTCGGAGTTGGGAGCCGGACCGCCCTCGTGCGCCTGCTTGAAGAAATCCAACTTCTGGCCGTGCCACACCGCTTTCAGCGACGCCAGCGTGCACAGGCGGTTGTCGTCGGACACGAAGATAGGCGGGTCGTCGGGGGGCACCTCCTCGCCATCGCTGTTGAACTCCACTTCGGGTTCAGGCTGACCCCGGCGGCGGCGGCCCAGGAAACGCTTGCGGATGCACAGGAAGTCGAGCAGGCAGAGCATGAAGGCCGTGCCGAGGAAGCGCGGGAAGAGCACGAGGCACGAGGCCGTCTGGGCGCAGAGCCTCAGGGAGTGAAGCAGCAGGGAGCGGAGCATGGTGGCTGCAGCCCCCAAAGCCCCCTGGCCCCCGCCACCTTCCCCACCCACCAACGGCAGGGCGGCCTGGCCAGGCATCTGGGTTCGGCTGTGCCGGGAGCTCGATTTATAGCCGAGGCTTCAATTGGCGGGAGACTCCACCTCCGGCCCGGGCCCGCCCCCTTGCAACTTGAGCCCGCAGGGATCCCCAGCAGCCCGGCCAGCTCCT